CTGCCCTGTTCTTGTTTTCCTCATGTCTTGTGTACATGTTCTGGGTTCTGCTTTCTATCCTGCTCTGGTTCTGGGTTCTATTAGTTCTGTCTTGTGCCTGAGCCTGTCTCCACAACACCACTACACTCAGTGCCTAAGCCTGTCTGCATAACACCACTTCCCATCGGGGCCTGAGCTTGTCTCCATAACACCACTACACTCAGTGGATGGACTAGAGGTGGGTGTGACATGAAGAGTAACACCCACAAAGCTTAGAAGACTGTGCCACTAGAATAGAGCTGAGGTCATTATACCATGATATTTTACATTGAATAAATCATTTATCTTTGTAATACGTATTTAGGGATGATTTAAGGTATGTTGAAAAACAGGTTCATTAACTAAAATCATGGTAAAAAGAATGTTGCATTTATTTTTCGAAAGAACAAATGAGTTGATTTCAAAATAAATCCATTAGTAAATATGGGAAGTAAAAAATAAATACATATGCCAACATTTTTGTTTTATAATGAATTTACACCACCAGGTACCCCGCCTTATGTTCAGTCTATCGCCAAATCCTGTCGTTTCCATCTCAAAAACATTGCGCGCATCCGATCCTACTTAACGCCAGATGCGACTAAGTTGCTGGTCCATTCCACTGTCCTTTCTCGCCTTGACTACTGTAATCCGCTTCTCAGTGGTCTTATGTGCTCCCAACCTGCGCCATTACAGTCCATAATGAATGCGGCGACGAGGCTTATTTTCCTGTCCGCTCCCAAGCCTCACCCTTCTGTCAGTCCCTACATTGGCTTCCTGAAACATATAGGGCTCAATTTAAAATTCTGGTTCTTGCTTTCAAATCTCTACATAAGTCTGCTCCCACCTATCTATCCTCACTAATACACAAGTTTGTCCCGTCTAGGCCCTTACGATCTGCTGAAGACTTACGTCTATCTTCTGTCCGTACTCCCACCTCTGATGCACGCCTTCAAGACTTCTCGAGGGCTGCACCATTCCTGTGGAACTCACTTTCCTCCTCCGTTAGATGCTCACCCAGTCTCCACTCCTTCAAAAAATCATTAAAACCCCACTTCATAAAAGCGTATCAATTAAACTGTTTATAGCTCCCGACTGATTCCTCTCTTGCAACTGTCACTAGTCTAATACTATCCTTACCTTTTTGTGTCATTTTACCCCACTCCCTCTAGCATGTAAGCTCATTGAGCAGGGCCCTCAACCCCTCTGTTCCTGTGTGTCCAACTTGTCTGGTTACAACTACATGTCTGTTCGTCCACCCGTTGTAAAGTGCTGCAGAATCTGATGACGCTATATAAATAATAACATAATAATAATCAAGTTCATGGCTGTTAGCCCAACATGTGTTTTTCTAACCTTGACTTCCATTTTTCCAGGGATGTGATTAATGCAAAAATGGAGATGGTTAACTGTGCATCCTAGTCAGCTGCCCTGGCACTTCCACTGTGTGTAGCCATATACCCGAAGACTGTGTTTACCATTCAGATGTGATGGCGCTTTTTATATTGGAGATCACGTTTAGTAATCAAGCTGTTTCATAAATTACCACTAGGTTTGGGAGATCTTACCATCACATTAGTTATTCCCATGCTCCCTAATCAAAAACTGCAGCACATGTGCTGTGATTGCTATGTTTAAAAGAGAACAGAAGGACCGCCTGTGGGTGGTCGTCTCTGATATCCCTTATCAGTCAAATTTTTGGCATAGAGTCTATGCTGAAGATTAGACTAAGAAGTGGGAGAAAAAACAATCTATACATTTGCTAATAAAACTGCTACGCAATGTATTGATGGAATTTCATACTCTTTCAAAAGAGCACTAGTGATATTACCCATTGTACATCGCTGGATGGAATTTGTTGGCGCTATATAAATAATAAAATAATAATAATGACAGGTTCCCTTTAAACCACCACCCTGCATGGTATAACCAGGTGTAGATAGCCAAGGTCTACTTCCAGGAGCTTCAATTGGACACCAAGTAAACAATAACAGAACCACAACACCAACGTCTTAGTGAAGGATATTTATCAGAGTGGAGCCAGCACTGTTTCGACCTTATTACAAGGCCTTTGTCAAGTCTAGGCTCACACAGAACCACATACAGTTTAAATATTTAAAAAAAAAATGTAATACAAACTCCCAAAGAAGGGGTTACACAAGCAAGGGAATTTAACCCCTAAAATAGCAATACAGAGGTATGCACAACGATACAGTAAAGTAATAAGTGCAACTAGGTAACAGAAAAAAAACCTGAGTATCCAGGTGAAAAGAAATGTCTAAAAAATGTAGGTATATAGATAACATTCATAAGGAACTGCATCTTCTGTCAAGGCTGGTCATTTCTCTGCAAATGTGAACAAAATGCTTATAGGCTATTGCCTATATTTTGCTATTTTGCTGTTGTTCTGGTACAAGTCACCACCAAAGAGAGATCGAGATCTACTTTATCACTGCAACTCAGTACATCAACGTATCAGATTCTAAACCAATTTTGGAATAGTGTAGAATTCAGAAGGAATTTCTACATTTTGGTTCAAAATAACCAAATTTAAATATCGTTAATTGGATAATTTTTCCAACTTGTTTTTTTGGGGATAAATACTGTACTTCTCTTACTCAATTCTTCACAATTCCTAGTTTAACTGAAACTTACTAAGGGTCTTGGAGGAAGTACAGGCAATTGAGAATTTCTCTGCCCACTGACTTTTGGAATACATATTTTAAGGTGTTAAAACACATATCGCAGTTTGTTATAACATCTGGATTATAGAAAAAACATTTACCATTAACTTCTAGATCTCCTAGCCATCCCAATGTCTGCAGGACAACCACTGTTTTAGGGTACTGTCCTACCATCCTAACTTGGTACCCCACTTTTGGAAATAGCGCTCCCCATCATCCATTTTTGACGAGCTTGCCTGCATGACAGGTTGTTTTGCTTCTTCTTTCAGGAGGTATGCCCCCTCACAACCCTGGCCCACCACCTTTTACCTACCCACCAGCATCGTACTTCATGGGATGCTCATGGTTGCACTCCCACAATAACTGCATGTTTCTTATTCCTTTAAATATCAGTGTTTGTTTGTGCCAGTAATGTTACAATCAAAGTAGAACAATCACACATCTAGGCTATGTTTTGGTGTGCAGCTTGGGGGTATAGCCCTTGTAAAACAGCTGTAGATGAGTAATTATGCCAACTTGGTAAGGGGGGATATTGACCTGAAGTCCATACAATTTTCTATCAGAGTTAGAATGTCCAGATGAAACCTGATAACTGTATGTGTGTGGAAGACATATGGACTGAAAAGGTCCTCATAGCAATAAACCACTACAGTAAACAATGTGACTTCTCACTTATGTAAGAGAGTAATAATAAAAGTGACATAGTTAAGTGGAGAGGCGGGCCTGTGAACTTACTATGAGTTCTTGCTCAAATGAACTAAGACAGCACGGTCTAAGTGTGAGCTTAGCACTAATAAACTAAAGTTTAGTTTGTACGTGTAAGTGTGCTATTCAATATATCAGATGTGTTGGGAATTCATCAGAGAATTCTAAATTAAATAGCAATTGAGCTGAAATCACAGCAGATTTTTACATTCTGGCTATTTTACTCTAAAAAAGTAAATGTAAAATTAGCTGGTTGCTTGCTAATGTGAAATTGAGAAGAAAAAAGCATTTTGAAAAGAACCATACAAAAAGTTTAAAATTATTTTTTTCAATCTATGTTTTTTATTGAGGCGGATATTAGAAGTACAGTACAAGCGCATAACGACACGTATAACAATGGTTCACAGTATCATAGCTTGTCACATTCGATCATGTAAAAGTCATGAATACCTTATGTTATTAAAATAGATAAATATTTATTTTTAAAAAAGTACCATAGATAAACACAGGATAGTGTAAGGCTGAAGCTGTCTGGTAAGAAATTAGCAATATAGATCTGCGATAGAGTGCTGACTAATTACTGCACAGATTACAAGATTTTATATAGTAGCAATATAGTATCTCTGATAAACGCGGCTAGGTTAATATAATAAAGGACTCTAGTTAGACGATTAATAAAACACAAGAAAAAAAAAACAATAAAGAGGTCTGACTAAATCATATCAGCATTACGAAAAGCCTGGATATCGGAGAAGCATCAGTAGCTGGAATTGTGAGAATAGAATGGATTTGTCCATTGCGTCTAAACAATGCCAATTGTTGGGGCCATGTCTGGAACAGGGGAAAGTATTATTGGGAACCCCTAGACAGACAGTCATGTGTTCTGATGAAGTTTATGGTAGCTGCTACCTGGCCTCCAGTTTTGAGGACGAGCGATGACTTTTGTCCATCCGGGCCAGGCAGTCCAGATGCTGGACCTGATCCCAGGTTGGAATCAGAGTTGCTGCAGCCTCCATTAGCCCCTTTGAGGGTGATGGTGGTGTGGAGGGTTAATTCCCCATGATGCTCTTAGCCTGGAGTAAGGCGGTCTTCTTAGCTCACTGTTATTGCCACAAGGCGTCAGAGGCCAAGAAATCCTATAAGTCATCTGTGGTTTGCTGGAGCAGGCAGGTGCTTTGTGACAGCGTTATGAAGGCTGCAGCAGACTGCAATAAGTGGAATCTGGCCTGCCTAGTTCCCTAGCAGTAACTGCATGGTGTTCATCCGCCATCCTAGACCTCGCTAAGTGAAATGATTCCTTTTCTGAGACTAGTGTTGAGTCCTTGCTGTGTTAAGCAAGGCCAAGATTAAAGCAGTAAGATACCATAATAACCCTCACCGTTCCAAAGGGTTTATGGAACCTTCTGGATGCACGTTTGGACAGGAAATTGGCCTCTTCAACCGCACTACTAGGTCTTAAAAGGTTAGTCCAAAATATCATGGCCAGCCTCCAGGGTCAAGCTGCCCATGACATACCTGGGTGGAGGTGTAAGCCTTTTAAAAAATTGTTGAGAAATACAACAGGAAAGAAACAGTAAAGATAAACTATTGAGCTCACTCTCCCTGCATCTGGCTTGCTTGGCAGCCTCTCTGCCTGCATTTGGATTGCTTGGCAGCCACTTTGCCTGCATCTGGCTTGCTTGGCAGCCACTCTGCCTGCTTCTGGCTTGCTTGGCAGCCATTCTGCCTGCATTTGGATTGCTTGGCAGCCACTTTGCCTGCATCTGGCTTGCTTGGCAGCCACTCTGCCTGCATCTGGCTTGCTTGGCAGCCACTCTGCCTGCGTCTGGCTTGCTTGGCAGCCACTCTGCCTGCATCTGGCTTGCTTGGCAGCCACTCTGCCTGCTTCTGGCTTGCTTGGCAGCCATTCTGCCTGCATTTGGATGGCTTGGCAGCCACTTTGACTGCGTCTGGCTTGCTTGGCAGCCACTCTGCCTGCGTCTGGCTTGCTTGGCAGCCACTCTGCCTGCGTCTGGCTTGCTTGGCAGCCACTCTGCCTGCGTCTGGCTTGCTTGGCAGCCACTCTGCCTGCGTCTGGCTTGCTTGGCAGCCACTCTGCCTGCTTCTGGCTTGCTTGGCAGCCACTCTGCCTGCATTTGGATTGCTTGGGAGCCACTTTGCCTGCATCTGGCTTGCTTGGCAGCCACTCTGCCTGCATCTGGCTTGCTTGGCAGCCACTCTGCCTGCTTTGGATTGCTTGGGAGCCACTTTGCCTGCTCTGGCTTGCTTGGCAGCCACTCTGCCTGCTTCTGGCTTGCTTGGCAGCCACTCTGCCTGCGTCTGGATTGCTTGGCAGCCACTCTGCCTGCTTCTGGCTTGCTTGGCAGCCACTCTGCCTGCGTCTGGCTTGCTTGGCAGCCACTCTGCCTGCGTCTGGCTTGCTTGGCAGCCACTCTGCCTGCATCTGGCTTGCTTGGCAGCCACTCTGCCTGCTTCTGGCTTGCTTGGCAGCCACTCTGCCTGCATTTGGATTGCTTGGGAGCCACTTTGCCTGCATCTGGCTTGCTTGGCAGCCACTCTGCCTGCATCTGGCTTGCTTGGCAGCCACTCTGTCTGCTTCTGGCTTGCTTGGCAGCCACTATGCCTTCTTCTGGCTTGCTTGGCAGCCACTCTGCCTGCTTCTGGCTTGCTTGGCAGCCACTCTGCCTGCGTCTGGCTTGCTTGGCAGCCACTCTGCCTGAGTCTGGCTTGCTTGGCAGCCACTCTGCCTGCGTCTGGCTTGCTTCGCAGCCACTCTGCCTGCATTTGGATTGCTTGGAAGCCACTTTGCCTGCATCTGGCTTGCTTGGCAGCCACTCTGCCTGCTTCTGGCTTGCTTGGCAGCCACTCTGCCTGCGTCTGGCTTGCTTGAGAGCCACTCTGCCTGCATTTGGATTGCTTGGGAGCCACTTTGCCTGCATCTGGCTTGCTTGGCAGCCACTCTGCCTGCTTCTGGCTTGCTTGGCAGCCACTCTGCCTGCTTCTGGCTTGCTTGAGAGCCACTCTGCCTGCATTTGGATTGCTTGGGAGCCACTCTGCCTGCTTCTGGCTTGCTTGGCAGCCACTCTGCCTGCGTCTGGATTGCTTGGCAGCCACTCTGCCTGCGTCTGGCTTGCTTGGCAGCCACTCTGTCTGCATTTGGATTGCTTTGGAGCCACTTTGCCTGCATCTGGCTTGCTTGGCAGCCACTCTGCCTGCATCTGAATTGCTTGGCAGCCACTCTGCCTGTGTCTGGCTTGCTTGGCAGCCTGGCCCTGGCAATTATTTCACTAAAATTAATTTTTTAAACACAGCAACACAGGTAAATAGAGGCAGAGTATTGCTGACAAGAGTTGTCAGAATAGATTTTACTGCTGAATTAAAGGTAAAACCACAGCAGTGGTTAGTCGGTTCCTCTGAGTTCCCAGTGGTCTGTGTAGAATATGTCAACAGTGAGTTTGCAAAGTTCTACCTGCAAAGAACTCTTTGAGATCAGTCAAGTTCTGTAAGAGAGAAAGAATCTACCTAGCGATCAAATCATTTTAGTGCTGGTTGCTCCACAATTTAATCTAAGCACACAAGAACAGTAAATCCCCAAACCCCGGAGCTCTGTCAAGGACACCACAAACCACTCTCCAGTAAAAGCAGACTTTCAATGCAGGGATGACAGCAAGATACCTTTTAGTTATACCAGTGACATAATCCAACATTCTTTGAGCAGGGAAAGATGCACCATTGGAATCCGAACATTTTCAGAACAACAAATAACCTGACCACAGATTAAAACATGCAGAGCTGTTTCTTGACCCCTAGGGATTCTGTGCTAACGATTTCAAAAGGGAGACATGTTTTGGGGCATTTAGGGGGACAGGCACAAAATAGATCCCAATGTGTATCCCTACACTCATGAATACAAAGTTATAATAACAATAGTAATAATCCCCAAAAAGACCAAACGGATACTTGTATATGTTAAAGGAAACTTAACTATATGATCATTTTAAAAATGAAAAGAGATATGTTCTTGAAACCAGTTAAGCAAGTGAAACAATGACTGCTCAACAAAACAAGTTTATTTGCACTAGCCAAATTGCTAGTACATGCACAACAAGATTCCTTTTATCTGATCCCATGTGTATCATAAAGCAGAGGGTATGTAAGTGGCCACCTCGGGCTACTTACCTCTGTGTAGACCCATGTATGAAATCCACCAGGTGTGTTCCAAGAATAACACAATTTGTCTATTATTTTTACTTGTCACGCAGAGCTTTCAATGGGAAGACAGTGAGAACAGAATACTTTATTTTATTACATGAAAAGATAAAGACTAAATGTGAGCAATAAACAGAACATTTTACATCCTTCACAGTACTCAAAAACTGAGTTCTTACAGTAAAGCGGTAAAAATCCCCGATAGGTTTGTGAGTCCCAACTGGCTTCCAGCAATGCCACCATGGGGAAAAGTCAAAGAATGTTTTACAGGCTGTATCTAGGGAGATAAAGAATATATCGCACTTTGCACAAAGGTCATACATAAACTGAGAGGTGAGCTCTACTGTGCATCAACACAAATAATTTACAAACACACTTGAGACTGTTACAGCGTTTAAACTCTTTACCCTCTACGTAGAACTCATAGCTAGATTAACAGGTTAAAAGCTCCTACTGTTTGGGAGCGAGTATATGTTTTTCCCCAGAATTCCCATCTCGATCAATGCACATTAAGTAAACAAAGGAGACAGTTGAACAACATGAGAGTTTGTACAAATATGTTGTTCATTATTTTACTAAATTATTTGAAAACAATTAAATTTGCCCAACCCATTGGGTTGAACCGATAAAGCAATTCTAAGTTTAAACCAAAGTAGAAGAGGTTGACAGATTCTTAAAAGGCAATTATTTCCCAATTTTAAACTAAATTTAGCATTTGTCTTGCAACAACTATGAAAGTTTACCGTACTCATTGTTTAGCAAATACACCCCTTGCAAAAAAAAAATGGGGAAGTGAGTGTCAGTTAGACATTACGCCTTTTATTGCAAATAGTAAAAAAATATCATTAAGTGAATATTTACTCGAAAAAGTTGTAGAAAAAAACAGTCCGCATCCATACTATATTTGGAGTATGTGTGAAATATACCCGTATAATATGAAATATTCTACAGAAGTTATTCAGTTTGTGCACTTTCCGAGCATTTAGGGAACATTCTGAGCACCAGACTTCATCTCAATTTTTGTTATTTTTAAACCACCACTCATGCACCCAGACCATGTCTGAGGAGGTCTGGGAGCAGTAGTCCTGTGGTTTTAGTCCTGCAATGTAAAACATTGTGTGACTCTTTGGAATTCCGCTGTGAGAGCCAAGTCTGACTCAGATTGGATGAGAAGCAATGGATTGGACGAGAAGACGAAGAGAGGTCAACATGACGTCACAGGAGGTGGATTGGACGGCCGTAACAGTAATAACTCAGCACTGGTACAAGAAAAATGTATTTAAATTGCGTTTTTCACCTTACAATGGGTTAGACAGAGGTCACAGTAATAGCAAGAAACCTATATTCTGAAAAAAACTAACATTATTTTCATGGTTATAAGCTCTATTCAAGTATATCTCTCCTCCGCTCTCCCCCAGCCGCTCCTCTATCGGGGGGCGGGGGGGGGATTCTTTGCAAACAATGCACAGGCACCTGTAGGTGACATTCTATCACTGCTCCCTGGCACTGGGGGGAATGTCAGTTGTTTGTGGGAACTGAACAAACTTAGGCTTGGTTCAATAAAAAATGGGTTTATATCTATATATTTACTAACTGTTTTACTGATACAACGCATTGTTTTTTGTTTTTTGCTTGCAATGTGTTATAAAAAGGACGGTGGCTAATTTGAATTCCTTGGAGACCTAAGAGGGGAGTGAACAGTTTAATGCTGTTTCAGTCTGGTAAGCTGCGGCATATATTGTAAACAAGAAATGCATAGCCTGCGAGGCAGCAGGGGAAGTGTTAATAAGCACAGAAAAAGACTCATGGGTATCAGATCCCTGTAACCATGGAGACTGAGATGCTGTCAAAAGAAGGGACTGCAGGTAAAACACATAGTGGGGGGTCATTTATCAAGAAGCAACGGGAGGTGCAAACACAGAATAGCAACAATTCACAATCATTGTTGGAGTAAATTAAGTGTGCATTGTTTTCCAGATCTGCGTTGAAATGTTTTATCATTTCTTAAGGGCTGCAAGACAGCGAGGTTCCATCCCACCCAGTCACAAAAACTAGACAGAAAGTAGTTTACTTCTAGAATCGGCAATCCCTCTGTGCCAGGAATCAGAAAACCCATAAAACAACAGACTGTCTCAATGGTGTGGATTTTGTTTTCACTTTAGCAGACACACTTCCCCTAATGCACTATTTAAGGCTGAAATAGAAATGTATTACAAACTTAAGGAAGACTCACAAACTCAATGGCCAGACTCCCGCTTTAGTAATCCGTTTGGAATGTTCTTTTGGGAACATTCACAGGTAACAACTAGACAATGATTGCACTCTAGATAAGGTAAGTAAGGATGGGCCATTTCGGCAAATCAGAGGGTCTTTCAGAACCGATATTGCTGTTTATCCCCAAAAAGTGGAATTCATACAGCTGGGTGTCTGTGGAAGATCGTGATGGCACGCAATGTATCAGTGATCTCTTGTGGCTCGGTGATACAGTACGATCACCAACTCACAAATCAAAGGCAAATGGCCGTGCAGGAGGGACAGGTATAGAAAGGTCTATTATTGGTCTTCAGAGTGCCTGGGCTTAAAGGACTACTAAAGGCACCCAGACAAGGTCATCGCAAGGAAGTTGGGTCATGTATTTTTAACCCTGTAATGTAAAACATTGCTGTTCTGTAGAACCAGCAATTCTACATCGAACAGTTGACTACACCTCTAGTTGTCCTCTTCCTAAAAAGCAACTAGACTATGCATGGCCAGTATACCAGGAATACATAAACTCAACATCAAAGTACCCCAAAATTATAGCATGGGAGGCACCATAAACGAAAGGTTTCCGGGCACAGTAGTAGTGATAAGATTGGCTTTTAGAGGCCTTGATTTAACATAGCTTTCGAAATAATTAAAGGGACACTTTAGTCACAAAACAACATTAGCTTAGTGAAGCAGTTTTGGTGTATAGATAATGCTTCCGAAGTTTCACTGCTCAATCCTCTGCCATAGGAGTTAAATCACTTTGTTTCTGTTTATGCAGCCATAGCCACACCTCCCTTGGCTGTGACTGACACAGCCTGCATGAAAAGAAAATGTTTTTATTTTCAATCAGATGTAACTTACTTTAACGTTTTTATCTCCTGCTCTGTAAATTGAACTTTAATTACATACATGAGGCTTCTGCAGGGTCTAGCAAGGTATTAGCAGTGCAGGAGATAAGAAAATCCAAATTAAACAGCATTTCTAATAAAGAAAGTATAAACATTAGATGACTCTTTACAGGAAGTGTTTAGGAAGGCTGTGCACGCCACATGCAGGGAGGTGTGCCTATGGCTGTATAAACAGGGTGCCTTGCATGTTTAATATGGCTTGGGCAAAAATGAAGATGTGATATTTCTTTCTATCTATTAACATCCCATATATTGCTGGGCTATAACCCATAAAATAACTACCACACTGTGGCTGAGAATTATGGGAGCTGTAATTTAACACGAGCTGATTGTGGCACATTTACCACATCCCTTTATTAAGTGGCCTAAGATGCCGGAGGGTTTCATCAAAAGAGCATTTTTAACAGAAATGGTATGGATTGCATTTGGGTCTTAACTGAGATGTGATGCATTATGAGTCATTATACACAATTGTTGATGTCAACATTTTCATTAAAGAAGCCATTTTGAATAGGCATGACAAATGGGCAGATGAGCCTTACTCCCGGAACATGGAAACGGCACTATTACACGGTTATAGTTTCCCTAAAATTCCTTCATCCAAAGTGCATTAATAAAGCAACATGGATGTTGTGTTGCAGATAACAGCAATGATGGAGCCATCATAAGGTTTTCTGGCCTCCAATGCATGGTTGGTGGAACTGAGCAGCAGAGGGGCCAGGCTGTGGGTGCCTTTTTGACAGCTGCCAAACATTCCTTATACCAGGAACATAAACTGAGACTGTCCAT